CCCCAAAACCCCAAAACCCCAAAACCCCAAAACCCCTATAAGCTCTAAAATTATTGAAGTTGATAATACAAAATGGAGCACACAACTTTGAAAGTACCCAAAGGAGCTGTAAAGACAATTTTCTCACCGACAAGAGCCACTAAGAGGAAGAAAGGAACAGTTAGGATTAATGTAAGGGCTTAGAGAAGCACAAGTTGTCTAAAAAGATGACTCAAAGATATTACTCCCTTGATATTTAGTTCCATCCTCATTTTTTAGTATTTTATGAGCTATCTTTCTTGACCAATTTCTCAAATATTGTTAAAATTCAAAATCCTTCAATAACTGAGATCTTGAAGAGAATTGCAAATATGATTCAAAAATATGAGAATCTTTAGTCCAATAAAATTATGATAATCACTTTCTTTATTAACAATATCTTTAAAATTAAGAGTTGTTAGGCTGATTTAGGGAAGTTGTAGACAAACTTCTAGCCATAGATACAGATATAGCTTTGCTCGAATAAAATCAATTCCATTTGCTTCAAACAATCGAAAAATCAGCTTGACAAAATCCTTTTCAAAGAACTGGCACTGGCTTTATTATTCAATTTGATTAAACTGGATTCCTCTAGTGTCATCACTTTAGCTATCAAAACTTTCTTCATAATCATTCTTATATAATATCTGTATCAAATTTTATGAAGTTTCTTCATAAATCGATACTAATTTCGCCATATAGGGAGAGTCCAGCCACCCAGATCCGAGTCCTTTCAGCCCTGGGGGCAAGATAAGGAATATCAAGCTCTTAAATAAAGTAATAAGATCTCTGCATATTTTTTTAATTTATCACCTAGGCAAATTTTCACCTAGTCATGGCTCATGGATCTATATTGATTATGCACAAAATTTCGCCAATTTGACAAATTTTGGAGTCAAATTATTGAGTAAATTTAGCATGATTCCTGCATCACTGGGTGCCCAGGTTACTAAGATAGGAGCCTTTTAGTAAATATCAGTTCAAATTTCTCCTTATGCAACTCTAACAGCTCATAAGCATTCTCTTTAGATTATTAAAAAATTGAAAAGAAGGCAGAATTCTAATTCTCAATTGTAAGAACTATTAAACTATATTTTTAGGAGATCCAATATGTCATCTCACCGTTTCAAGAGCGTATCGCCTAATGGGAGGAGGTTTAAGAAATTTTTAAAGCTTCCTTCTGCTAAGAAGATAAAAACAAGGTATAGGTTATAGCTTAATGCCTAGATATTTTAGCCCAAACAACAGGAAATTTAAGATAAACTCTCTTTTACGGAGGCAGACAGGCAATATGAAAGCAAAGGGGCGAGATAAATTTACGCCTATTAAAGAACCAAAAAGGTAAGCGCATTTATCTTTCCTTTTAACTAAAATCCAGCACTTTAATATTATTTCATAACAAACTAGTTTTAACTTTAGAGAAAATTCTTATTGAATCCTTTTTAAGTCAGCTCATTTTCCTTATCTGAAATTCTTTTAGAAAATTTAACTTCAAAAGTTCAAGTAAACTTCAGAAGCGAAAGACCAAAGAGAAATCAAAGATTCCATCAAACTCTGGGAATTCAGAGACTTTTAGAGGTAAGTATGGAAAATTTAGAAAAGTTCTTAATAATTTTAGCAAAGACAACTTATTCTTCAAGGCAGAATCCCTATGAAAATAAGAGATATTATCATTTTTCAAAAGAGAAGTTCAGCAATAGCCCTAATTCTCGTGCTATATACAGACAAACCATCAAGCAAGATAGGGCTCATGCTATGCCTCCTGCCTCAAGCAGATTTCCTTTTGAAGTATACATTTCCCAATGTCCTGAAGAAGGTGATTTCAATATTTTGAACAAGTACTTAGATAGCGATACTTTTGATGCCATGGAAGGTAAGACTTCATACACTATTTTACATTCCATTCTCTCAGTACCAATCATATTCTGAAAGATCCTTTATTGAAATGAAATAGTCAGGGTTATTAAACTAGTAGTTAGCAAAGGTTTATATAATAGCCTATTCAAATTTTCTGCAAATTTCCACATAATGCAAAATCTATTAAACCATCTCTCCCCAAATCTATAATGCCAACACTTTAAGTGAGTTATCTTTAACGGAGACAGGAAAATCTTATATAGAAAATGAAGAATAGTCCAACACCCTTCTTTTTCATTTGCCGATATGCTACTAATTTCTTAAAACTGGGAATATTACCAGGAATTACGACAATAAGAAATATGAACTGGACAGTAATATTTCTATGAGAAATTAGGGTCGATTACTATGACTAGTCATGCCGAAATTCTAGGGGTCTTTTAGTCATCGATATGAAGAATTTAGGTCCTGAAATTGGTAGTCTAAGCAATAGTTTTTACACACAGATATTATTAATCCTATCAATTACTAGTTATTTAGAAAGATGTGCAGTTTGTATGATGATATAGGCAAACGATTCCCTGAACTGATAAGTACAGAAAATAGAGGATTCAATGAGACTATAGACAGTAAGGAACATCTTTAGCCGCAAGTCCGATTATAAGTCTTAATTTGCTATATAAATTCAAATTCTTGAACCAAAACGTTCCTAATTCTCCAAAGAGCTTACTCATGATGAGAGGAAGTGTTTGGAATCTAATTTGAAATCCTAATAGATTTGCTACTAGAGCCTCTTTCGAGGGTTGACAAAATTTGGATATAACACCAGCATTTTTATTTTATTTAACTAGTTATCTATTTTCAATTAATTCTAACTCTCCAGGGGTTTTGGGGTTTTGGGGTTTTGGGGTTTTGGGG